GGGCTTGAACATTTTCTTTGTCTAGAACTCCAGGTCACGTGGGCCCCACTGGAGTGCCTGGTTGGCTGTGAGCGGGCCGGGGGAGGGGGCCGACTCGCAGACGCTGGCAGTGGGCCAGCCCCTCTCCTCCGGGCCGGGGGGCGCGGGGGCCTGGGGGCGCGGCTGGGCCTCCGCCCGTTCCCAGGGCCCGCCCCGGCCCAGGCTGGAGGTGGTGCCCGCCCCCTCCTCCCAGGCCGGCCCTCCCCGTCCCCTCTAGCCTAACTCGCCTGGAGCTCCACGCGGGGCCAGGGGGCAAGGCAAGGAGCCCGCGGGCAGCGCTGGAAGGGAAGGAGGGGAGTCGGGAGGGAAGGGGCTGCTCTCCAGCTGCGGAGGTGAGCTGTGAACGCAGGCGAAAGGAGAGTGGAGGTTCCGGACGGTCTGGGAGAGCCGGGAGAAAGTTGTTAAAAGTGAGTCTCTCAGAAGCACACCAAAAAAAAAAAAAAAAAGATTATAGACGAGCAAAGAAGTCTAAGAAGCTGCAGGAAAACTCCCAAGCACACAGAGACGGACAGAAGGCGCCCGCAGAGAATTGGGAGCACTCCAGAACAAGAGGGGGTTGGGGTGGGGTGGGGGCTCGCTTCACACTACAGGTGGATAGAAAGGAGTGCTTTAAAAGCTGGCTGGAGGAGCGCGGCTTTGAAAACCGCTTCCCGGACAAGTCCCTGGGTCGCTTAGGGTCTCTGCCTAGGATTTCTCCTTTTCCTGTTCGCAAGGTGCGGGGGCTGGGTGGGGGGGGAAAGGGGGCGCTAGTTCAAAGGCACAGTAGTTCCCCCCACCACCACCGAATCAGCCCGCTATTGGATCCAAGACCCCAGTGGGTGCCTGAAACCATGGAGAGTACCCAGCCTACACATACTGTTTTTCTCTCTCTCTACAAACCTATGATGAAGTTTAATTTATAAATTAGGCACAGTAAAGGATTAACAATAACTAATAAAATAGAATAATTGTAACAATACACTGTAATAAGATGTGAATGTGGCCTCTCAGAATATCTTTGTACTGTACTCGCCATTTTTCTTGTGATGCTCTGAGACGATAAAATGCCTAGATGATGAGAAGTGAGGCAAATGATGAGGCACTGGGATGCAGCATTAGGCTAATATTCACCTGACGATATGTCAGGAGGAGGATCATCTGCTTCGGATGATCTTGGATCACTGAGCCTTGATGATGTCAATGGTTGGGGAAGTTTATGATTTTCGACTGTGGCTGACCTCCAGTAACTGAAACCTCAGATAGTAAAACTCTGGAGGGAGTGGCGTGGAAAGTACTGTATAGCAATTCCTTCAGTGCCAAGTACAAGTGTATGCAGCTCAAGAAGACTCCAT